CTGCTGATTTTAAGAAGGATTTCATGGTGGGATTTAGTTGCCATTTGTTCTGCACACTAGGAGATGAAAAATTATGCTGTTCCCTAAAGATAATAATGAATTTCACTCATAATAACCTGGAGGTAGTCAACGGTTGGAACTATGCTTTTTCCTGCAGAACATGTAATTGAATGTACCTGTCATAGAATAATTTTTAACCTCTGCTGAGGGAAGAAGCATAGTGGGAATTTAATAGAACATTTAATATGAAATATTACCCAGTACCGAAGGTATTTGGTATATATTTCTTTTTAATGAGAACATAATGTACTGAGAAGATAACAAGGCGCACAATAAACTCTTCTGATAAATAAAGTAATGATTACCAACAACAACAAAAAGTGTCTCATCAAAATTTGTGTGTATTACACGAGATGCAAATTCAAAATAACATGATAAAAGTTGCACTGAAAAAGTAAAAGAATATCAAAAGTGGGCTGACTGCATTGTTAGTAAATGATCAGAAAATTAAAAATTGTGTTTTACTTTACATGCCCTAGTGCAGAATTTGACTTTACAAATACTATACTCTTCTTGCTTCCTACCTTTCGAGAGCCTCACTTTGTGATCTTTTGGTGTTCTCTGAACAGTATTTGTTTGCCTAGGTTTAATTAAAAAAGTAGAATAAATTCTGTCTTGTGATACCACACTTATGCTCACATTGTTCATCAGCAAGACTGAAACCTTGGTTCTTACTTGACCATTTGAGATAACATAGTAACTGAATGAAACTGCTCTAAATCTCCATTCACACTAGCACTAGAAAGTGAATAACGCTACCATGCTTGATTTCTTTCCCCTTCAGCTTTCTCCCATGTTCTGTCATGAACCCAAGTTTTTTTTCTCTCTTCTTGTACTCTTCCATTTTCTGTAGTAATCCTGTCAAAAATCTTAATACTTTTAACATCCACTCTCTTTCTTTATACTTTATCCTCTTAAATTTTCTCCTCAATATACAAAGTCCCTTTAACTTCCACCGTCCATCCTCTAGCAGTGGAACTATTGGCTTTTGTCTCGGATTCAGATTTTCTGGCATATGAAAATGGTGTAATTGCCAAAAAAAGTCTTTTCCAATTGTTAGGACATTAATAGCACTGTTGCCTCATAGAGATACTCTGGTTTCTAATAAATATGTTCAACAGAGATGCTATTAGCGTTTCTGTTGTCGACATTCATGACATTTATAGAACGCTAATCTCAGGCAGTTATTCCTGTCATCTGTGGCTGAAGTGATTCGAGAAATTTCAAAAAATATTGAGGAAAAAGGAAAAAAAAAAAAAGTGACTATGATCCCATGAGCCTCATTTCCTTATGAAACCATCCAAATATACTGTTGATCCCAGTTACCTCATCAGCTCTCATCAAAATCTGTTCCATCACTAATGTGACTGAATTTTCTTCCCTACAATTTTATTAAAGACCTTACCTTCCCACTTCTGCTCCTGTGCTTGGCTGAAACTACTCATACAGCCTCCCCTGATTTCTTCCTAATCAAAGCTCAGAACTAGCTTTCCCTTCTCATCTCTGCTCCACATCAGCTGCACTTGGCATTACTACTCCAGATATATTGACTTGCCTTTGTTACAATGATTTTTCCTTTTCAAGTACTCCAGTCTTTTGAGGTTCCACCTGTTTTCCAAATGCTAGCTGCCTATGAGAAATCTATAAGGATCTATCCTTACCCTTCTCTTTTCTCTGTGCTTTCTCAGAATGATCTCATACAAAACACACACATTTAATCACTGTTTCTATAGCGATAAACTAAAATATTGACCAGTCTCTCAGGCATCTCTTTGTGGATATCTATTAATCAGCTTTACTTTAATTGAAGATAATTGTAAACAGATCTTAATTTTTGCTGCCAAACTAAAATGAGTGTCCTACTGTGGATCCTAAGCTTGGAACCATCTTGCAGAGCATCCCATGTAGACTATGCCTGCATAGTGCAAGTGTTTTCTCATGCAAGCTCTCATTTTTGCCTCACTTAAAACTACTCCTATATTCCTCCCATATATCATCTCACACCCCTCAACGCTTGTTTCAGAACACTCTGGAAATATTATTTGCATAGTACATCACTTTGCCTCTCACTGCAGTCCTTCCCTGGCTTACCCTTCTTTACTGCTTCAAGGCATGACCACTTATTCTTACTTAGCCTGCAACTTTCAGTCCTTACTGAGAGGTAACCTTCTTATGAGCGCATAATATTACTCTCTTTCATACACAGAATAAATTAGCAGACAAGACTAATTGTGATTTCACCTATGCTCCCACTTCAGTCAAGGAGGAATTTCTCAGAAACATCTGCCATGTAACCCCAGTTTTCAATAACAACCTCTCTTCGGTCTATTCTCTGCTCTGATGTCTACTGCGACCACTTACTTTTCATGCTGGATTTTGTGGTACTCTCATACTGTTTCCTGATGTTTCCCATTTTTGCATACACTTTTGTTATCCCTTGTCACATCAGTTAAGAGCTTAATCAGGACCGTTTTTGTTGTGTGTTTGTAGAGTACCCAGAAGAATGGGCTCTCAGTTTAAGCCCTAGGGTCCCAATATGCTAGACTATTATTAGCAACCACCACTTCCATTTTCTAGCAGCAGAGAAACAAAAGGTATAGGAATCTCAGGTCCCTTTCCAGACTCCAGAATGGATTTGCTCTAATGGGCAGTTAATTATTTGCTCATTTTCCCCAGCTTCTGTCTCATTGTTCCCCATTCCAGGAAACCCATTCTAATCCTTCTGTTTCTCTTTGCCCAGAAAGTCCCATTTTCCCAAGCAGGTTGATGAAGTCCCTGCTTCATCAGGGAAAGCAGGGACTCTTTCCGTACACCAGTAATTGAAGTAGGATTCACTGGAGGAGGATATTAAGAACTGAGGCAAGAGTGCAACAGCAAGCTTTCATGAAATCAGCAGTTTTTCACTTCTTCCACCTCAGCTCTTTTTATTACATGACCAATTGTACCCACTGTAGAATAATTACGCATTAAACGTTCTCAAGGAGACCTACTGAAAACAGTGAATTCATTCAATATACGCATACAAAGTTGTTTGTTATTTACCCCTAACACATCATTCCACTACAGCTACCCATCATTCCACTAGCACCAGACAAGACAATTCTGTATTATGGCTATTACCTGCCCTCTCACATTCATTCTTATCAATAGTAAATCCTAAATATTGTACCTTTACACAGTAAACAGACTGGTGCTACTTATCCACCTTTTAAATTCATGGCAGATAACTATTTTGCAGAGTAAGTGTGTTTGAGGCCACACTGATGTTCTTACTTTGGCATAGCTTCCACTGGCATCAGGAGAAGTTAGTTTGCTAGAACCTAGTCAAGAAGTACTGATAAGCTGTGCATTTGTGCACAAGACAACTGCTGCTGACATTCAGTCTATCTGAAAACAGAAAGACTAAACTTTCTCTGTATTCTATTTCTAAGCATATAAGACTGAACTACGAAACACAAGTCCACAGAAATATTTTGTTGGCATATAACAGGTTTTTCTCCCCGCTTCTTCTAGAATGGATGATGCTGAAGCTTGTTTCATTCTGAGTAGCCGCTGTGAGGTGGACAGGACAGCAGCTGTAAGTTTTGAAGAAATAACTAAGAATGAGTGTGCATGCTGTTTACACTGTTACCGCCCATATTCCCTCTCATAGACTGAAACGTCTTCTGTGTATGTAAGATTAAAATTAGCTGATTTATGCAGAGATTTTGCATGAGTGGGATGTACTTCTGATCTCAATTAAGTTAATGGAAAGGTTTCTACTGGATTTGCTAAAGCCAGGATTTCATAAATTTAGGAAATTAGATTTAATGTCTCATTTCACAAAACATTTCTACTACTGCTTTCTTAGAAACTAAGTTATATGAACTACCTACCAATGAAATTAGGATTTTACAGTGTATGTTATATAGAGAGAAAAGTTTTAAATAATCTAAAATTTTATATGTACATATTTTCTAATTCAGTACTCTTAAAAACTTATTACACACACTGAATAATACATTTTTATGCATTCTCCCTTTTTATGGAAGAATGGCAGAATATAATTTTTAACATTTAGATACTATTTCTGTATATTTTATTTATAAGCAGTAGCCTGGTACCTTATAGATTTGTTGTCTCTTGGCCATTAATCACTCCAAAGAGCAGCACTCAGTCAAAAACAAAAGTTTTATTGAAATTATCTGGACTATTGCACGGTTTGCTCTCAATGTCCAATTCAGAGAGTTATATATATTAAATCAGAAAAGAAATATACCAGCTGGCTGGTATTTCCATTCAGAAGCGTTCAAGTATCAAATGCTTACTAAGAAAAAAGTAAGGATTGAATTCAACTTTATAAATTAATTTATGATTAATATCAAATAACCAATACCTCTAAGAATATCTGATTATTTTTCTTATTTGCCAATTACAGATGTGAAAAACAGCAAGATTCTTTAAATAAATTGTTATGATTTTTTCCATGCGACTAGTTATTTTCAGCCAGATAAGATACTGTCCACAAAGGAAGACTGCTGATGCAACTACTCAGCATATCTGTGATAAAAGAATAAAAGTATTTTAGTATCAGCTAGAACTCATTAAACTAGTGAAATTACCTATTTCTCGTAAATAATCAGGAAAAAAGTTCACTGAGGAAGAGGCAGTGATGATCACCTTTTTCACCGCAATTCACGTGCTAAATTATTGCACACTTAACTGTCTTTGTCCAGTTCAATCCTGAACTACAAAGGAGGATGATTAAAATAGGTTTAAGTATGCACAACGTTAAATTAGGATCGTTGCAATTTGCTTGACAGGATCAAACTTTTATTTTCAATTCAGTAATTATAAGTTTCAGGTTATCTCAATTTAAAAAAAAAAGTAAGGTATGTGGAAACAAAGCAACGTGCCTATATAAAGAAATTTAGTTTGACTTGTACCTGTTAATTTTACTTGCCTCAGCCTACTGCTCTACAGTTAGATTATAAGGAATAGCAATTTGTTTTCTAAATGTTAAAATTAAGAACAGAAAAACATGGGAAATGAATACTTTGCATCAAATATGTAGGTTTTCTTAGTATATTGCCTATAACTTGTCACAACTACTTCCTCTGCCCTCAAAACCTACTTACTGCCATACCTACACATACAGCTTTAGAGAAGGAAGGACAAAAGCAGCAACAAAAGCTGTAGTTAGCAAGAAGAAAGAATTATGTCCTTTGTAGGAAAATGAACCCCCAGAAGCAAATTCTATTAAAAGTAACTGTTAATTTTTTTGTAGAGTATCACAATGCTATAAAAAGTATTTCATTTCCAAGCTAAAGACCCTGGGCTAACCTCTTCCCTCGCGTAAAGCCACTGAACTCTCTGAGAAATGAATTGGTGCTCCTGCTATGCTATTCAAACTTTTCCTGAACTAATGGCATTGAATTAGATTAATCAGCAATAGACTCTCGAAAACACAGGAGTGAAAGCCACTGAATGGGCAGCGAGTAGTCTTAGAGAAAACGTCAAGTAAGGCAAGCTCTCAGAACGTACTATTTGGAAGTGACAGGTACTGGGGTATTTAAGTATAAGAATAGGTAGTAGCTCCTGCAAATACCTGGGAAAATACCCATTACTTCTGTGACGCTGAAGAAAAACACTGAATTGCCTTGCTTAAATTAGCCATGAAGCTCAGAAATCAGCTGATTCTGATTCAGTTACAATATCTTGTTTCACAGAATACACTAGATAGTTATAAAATAGTTCAGAAATGAGAAATCCCATACAATCAGAGGATGTGATTCATGGGCATTCTTATACTTTGTACCTTTCCGCAGCTGTAAGGACCTCTGCGCTGACAGAGGATTCACTCACGTGTAAGCTGTGCATCTCCACTCTGCTCATTACCCCTCCAGAGTTTCTACCAAGAAAGATCAATTTTCAGCTCTGCTAAGCTTTCCCACAGTGCAGCCACTGGATTCCAAATATCTTCCATCCATTCTGACCAATCCTATTCATTTTTGGTTTCAGAGTTACAGCTACAGCTGTAGAGCCAGCTACAACTCTCTCCATGCAGCCTTTCTGCCCTCAGGGCCCGTGTGCCCCAGGAAATACCAAAATGGGACCTGGCACATTTTAGCACATCTCTTCCAGTACAGACTGTTATCAGCTTTCAGTTATCACTGTATCTGGAGCATCCAAAAAGGCAAATCTTACTGAAGAGACAATCCTGTTATCTTCTGCTGGGGCAGAATGCCCTGTTGGGTGACTGGGTGGCTAGAACGTGGCAGCAAATAGCAGATCATTTCCCAGAGAAAGTAAACAACAGGAATCAAGCTTTGCTTTTGCTTTTTATTTGATTTTTGTATGTTTTAAGGACTTTTCTCCCCTATAATCAGGGCCTATGGGGAAGGCCCTTGTCTTGGCCACACTGCATACACCAACACTTCCCTTTTTTGCGATATGGATCTCACAATCTGCTATTAAACAAATAATATTTTTCTCTTAGCCTGCTGTGCTCCAGAAATCAATTTCTTCCATTGAAATCAACAGTCACTCTTTATAAGGAGTGATACCTGCATTCCCTTTACCTTTCCGAAAGGTTTCTTATCCAGGCTTATACTTATTGAAAAAATTTTCTCCCCACATGGTGATTCTTCATCTTTTGTAGCTATCTGTGTAAAGCAAAGTTTAACTACTTTGACCTCTATATTTCAGAGGTTCACAATTCCAAGTGCAAACAGGAACTGATTATGCACGTACAAACTCTCTGACCCTTATTCCATCCTTTACACACTAAGTGCCATCTGTCAGTTTCTTCTTCACTCTGGTTACAGTAAAGCCAGTAGGGCAAAAAACCCCAGTATTTCTCTGAGAAATGGCAAAAAGAAATGATAAGAGAACACAAGAGAGCAGGACTATGACAGCTGAGGATAAGCTATCCAAATAGTGCTTATACTTCAAAAGAAGGTATATTCCTAAGTTCATGTTACACATTTATCAAAATCAAGTATCTGCTACAATTTCAGTAAATGCCACTATTTGAATGAGTTAGGAATTTTCCAAACAAGAAACATTTGCTGGGAAATACCAGCTAATGAGAACTGGAATGTGTCCAGAAAATCTATCAGTTTCAAAAACGTCTAAAGGCGGCCAGCTTGCCTTGGGATTTGAGATCTCAGAGAACACTTAAAGTTCCTTCAAAAAGCCTGCTATTAGGGCTCCCCAGAGGTTTCCAGACCCAGTCACCTATGTGGGATCCTGCTAGCTCTAGTCACATCTCGGCTCTCAAGTTTGTCACAGGCCTGGGAGCTTGGCATTCCTAGAATCTTTAAGTTTTAGAGATGTCATTTATTCTGTGGCTCCAGAGCAAATGGCATAAATCAGGAATCTGAACTGGAACAGTGAAATTGGGCTCTGAGGGTCAACGCAGTTTGAAGTTTTAAACAAGATATCACCTCCTCCTCTCACTTTTTGTTGTTCAGATTTCCTTTTCACAGGCAATGCAATAATTTACACTTTAAGTAGAAAGTAGGACAGCTTTTTGTCTCGTTTTTTGTTTTATCTTACTGCCCTCTAGAGCTTTGAAATCAAATAGAATTAATTTCCTGTAGTCACTACTAAGGAATATATTAATACAGGTTACAGTTTGTCACTGAGCTAAAGGAAGTTTAATTTTAAGTCCATCCCAGTATCTGTCAATATAACTGCAACTGATTTTTTACCCTGCTTTGCTCGAGAAACTGACAAACTGTTAGGAGTACCTTGGATCCTCTCCTACATCTGACAGCTGTCAAAATGCAAGTTAAAAGATACATTTAGGAGAGCCCTGTACAGAACAGCTGTTGTTACTCATGGGATTTTTCAAGTCCATGAGGATTTTTCTCTCCCCAGCTAGAGTCCTCAGCAGAGGATCCCCTCATTTGCCATGGCTGTCATTGGCTGTTCATTGCTTGCTATTTTGTTCTCAAAAAATTTTAGCACCAGAGTTTGCTGTTACTTCTCATCCATGAACCTCAACTATAGCTCAGAAGGAAAGTACAGTACCAGGTGACAGGCAGTTATTTATAACAATTGTCAGTTGCTTTCTTTGCTCCCTTGGATAAATAGGAACTTCAATAGTCAGACCAAGCATCTGCCAGCTTTCCACAGTCTCCTACTAGACATTTTTCTTCTCTGCAAGACAAAGCTCTGCCAATTTTTATTTTCTCAAGTGTCATTTTGACATCTCAGACCAAGCTGTAAGCTGCTCATCTGCTACAGTAAGCAGGACAGACATCTGTTTCACATATGGAGGATGTATTTTATTAAACATTCTTTCTTCTTATTTTTAAAATTACTTTCACTTTCTGACAAAAACAGTTATGCTTCTAAGAGAAAATAATTTTTAAAAATTCAAGGAAAATATCTGAATAACATTGGGAGAAGAAAAGGAAAAGTAAAAGGTTTGAAATGTACAATCAAAATGGCATTTGCTGGTACAATTTTGGTTTATCACAGCAATTTTAGTCTTATTCATGTATGTAACACTCTGGAATGAAAAATATAATTCTCCTAGATTTTATTAAGCCTCAGCTATGTATCAATTAAGTAGTATTCAGGAAACAATCTTTTCTTACCTCTTTTACAAGCCAATGAGGTCTGTGCATGGCTGCTATGGAAAGGATAGGGAGGAAACTAGTCATGTCAAACCCTATGCAATGAAGTCACATCATGATTGCAAATGACTCTGAAGATTTTATTTCCCTTATACTATTTGCATGAAAAGAGTAGATAACATATCTGCAACAATTTAGCTTTTTCAGATGTCTCAAATCTGCCTCCAAACCTCTTGCTCCTCCTGTAGTGCTGTATCACCTCCATCTATCCCATTACCCAGCCATTTGCTACTGTTCGCATTTCATTCCCTTGAGACAGAATAGCAAAAGGCCCAAATGGGGGAAAAAAAACCCCACCCAAAATTAAGACAGGGTCTTGAGAACTCATATGCTGAAGAAAAAGGGATGAAAAAGTGTCTACAAAAGACAAAAGCTTATAGCACGTTCTGAAATCTGCTGGATGGGCTCATATAAGCCTTCATAAAAGTGTTAATAGTAAAAAAATATAAACTAATCTATTTTACCATCCACAAAAGGTCTTCCTCTTATGACTTCACTCTATAGTACATCTAGCAGAAAAGCTACTTGGTACCATCTCAATTGACATTAAAATATTATGGTTTGAAAATGTCAATTACACGCTGTTCCAGGCAGAGATTTTCCCTTGTGTTCATGAGTCTGAAAGCTTTCCTTATTGCTGATGCTGCAAACATAATGAATCATTCTTTATAGTCTGTCTTTTAATAGCACCAATTTCATGACTAGGCAAGGCATTTCAAGCCAAATACCGTTTCCTATCTAGAGTTCTCAATTACTCCTTTTTACTTCTGAAATAAATAAAAACTGATGGTTAATATGCTGAAATTAACCATATTTCACGGAATTCAATATATGAATGTATTATCAAATAGTTTTATGGGATAGCCCAGTTCTTCCTTATATTTAACTCATGGTTGACAGAGTAACAAGCACAAAAACTAAAGTCTGGGAATCTGTTGGAATCCTCTGGTCAGTAGATGGCCAGATTCTGCCATCAGTTATGCATATGTGTTAGTTCCACAAAAACATGGATCTACTTTGATTCTTGATGTTGAGCTGATGGTTTGAGACTTGTCACTAATTTAACATCTTAAATCCTGATGTCTTCATTCTATATTACTCAAATGTGGAGTCTTTTTTGAAGGATATTGTCTAATATGTCTTTCTGGATTAATTATGCACGGGTCTTCACTACCATCTAAGAGTTTTCACAGAATTCTTCCACATCCAAATGTTATCCCTTTCAAATTATACTATCGCTGATACTTGCAGAAGGATAGGAGAGACATAAAATACCTTAGGAGGAGAGTTCTGGAAACAAACCCTCTCTGCCTCATTCCAAGAAATAAAATAGGATATCATAACAGGATCATAGTATACTACAGGTCAGAAGGAGGCTCAGGAGGTCTCCAGTCCAACAGCCCTTCTCACAGCACGGTCAGCTATGGGCTCAACCAGGTTGCTCAGAGCTTTATCCAGTCAGGTCTTGGAAACCTGCTGCACAGCCTCCCTGGGCAACCTGCTCCACTGCTTTACTGTCCTAATGGGGAAAAAGTTTCTCCTTATATCCTGTCTCAACCTCATTTCGGCTTACATCCATTGACTCTTGTCCTCCCACCACACAGCACTGTGAAGAGCCCGGCTCCATCTTCTCGATAACCTCCCTGTAGGTACTGGGGGGCTGCTGTTAGGTCCCTGTGAAGTTCTCTCTTCCCTCCAGGCTGAGCAAGCTTCGTTCCCTCAGTGTCCCCTCACAGGACAAGTGCTCCAGCCCCCTGACCATCCAGGTGGCCCTCTGCTCAACTCATGCCAGGTTATCCATGTCTTTCCTATACTGAGGGGCTGAAAACCGCATGCAGTATCTAAATGCAGTCTAACCTGCGCGGAGTAGAGCGCAAGTCCCTCCATCTACAGGCTGTGCTCCTGTTAATACCACCCAGGATGCTGTTGGCTGCCCTTGCTGCCAGGGCCCATGCTCTGTTTGCTGTCTGCCAAGACCCCCAGGTCCTTCCCAGCTTAGCTGCTCCCCAACTAGTCTCCTGCTTGTGCCAATGCAGGAGGTTACTCCACCCCAGGGACAGGACTCTCTATGTGTCCTTGTTGAATTTCTTGAGGTTCCTGTTGGCCCATTCCTCCATCCTATCTAGATCCTCTGAAAGACAGCCATGCCTTAAGCGTATTGACTGTTCCCTCCAGTTTGGCGTCATCTGCAACCTGCTGAGTGTGCAGTCCCACAGCTCTTCCAGGTCAGAAAAAAAGTCATTTATCAGAACAGATCCCACATATAGACCCCAATGACACCCTGTTTGTCACAGGTCTCCAGGTAGAATACTACCACTGCCCTCTGAACCAGATCTTCCAACCAGCTTTTTACTTATATACTTTTACTCCAATCCATGCAGATTGGAATATGATAACTTGTATATGAGAACATCCAAGTGGACATTCTAGGAGACATATATTCATGTGTCCATAAATATATTCCCCCAGATCGTCCTTTTGGCCTTGTTTGAAGACAGGTGCAACAACTTGTTTTTGTGCAGTTGTTGCGGACCTTCTCCAATTTCCACAGTCTTTCAGAGATGATAAGCAGCATCCTCGCAAGGACACTGGCCTGCTCTCTCTGCACCTGTCTGATCCTGTGGGGTTGTAACAGTCAAGTTCTCCCAAGTAATCCCTGACTCAAATCATCCACTGCTGGTCATTCTCCTCCTCCTCGAACTCCACCTTGAAGCAGAGTTTTGGGAGACCTTGCTGGTGAACACTGAGACAAGAAAGGCATTGAGTACCTCAGTCTTGTCTGTGTTTGCAGAGTTACAAATGCATTTTTGCGTATAAACATATGTATGGATGCACAGATAAACACACACACCAGCTGCTGCTGTATGGTATTAAAGTGAGTTATCCCACTAATGCAGTCAGCAATTGACAAGTCAGACTTTTCAGAGGAAGCTCTTTCTTTTTCTAATGTAACATGATGATTATTTGTATTTCATTATCATCACCTGATACTCTTTATTTCATTCTAGGATCATCAAACCATTTTAAGAGCATGGGCAGTTAAAGATTTTGCTCCAAATTGTCCTTTGTATGTCCAAATATTGAAACCTGAGAATAAATTCCACATCAAGTTTGCAGGTAAGTGTGAGATTTCAGCCATTTAAACTGCTTGTTAGTATTCTTTGGCGGTTTGTTTTATAAACACATAAGCAAAATCAGATTCCCTAGAGATATTTACCACTTTGAAACAGACTAAAAAAAGTAAGAGCAAAATATAGTAAAATCCCATGCACTGTATACATAATATCAATAGTAAAATGTCATGTTTTGTATTAAAGTCTTATTTATAAGCATTTAAAGAATTACTATATTAGTCTGTAGTGTTATATAATGTATAATGTAAAATTATTTCATATATAACACATTGTTACTCCATAATTAGAGAGCCAGGTTGCTGTATCAAGATTAGCTTGTTGTATCCGTATCTTTAAACCATTTCTGTCATTTAAACCATACTATTACCAAGCGCCATATGAAGAGAACAGATCAGAAAAGCCTAAATTTCTTCCATACAAATAATTGGAAAAAAAAATATTGTCTTTCCACTGGATAATTTTTTCTAAGTGGTATAAAAAACATGATTTTTTTTTCTTTCAAATATTTTGGAAAGAAAAATATCATTTAGTTCTAGATCCAGTAAAATGAATATCTTAGAAACTATGAATAAAATGCAAAATGATGTTAAGAAATCCAAATAAAATCCTCTCTCATAAGAACAGATTACTAGTTCTAATTTGGCAAACCTTTTTTTTGCCACACGTGGGTGGGTATCACTTTCTCTCGTCATACATACATACATATATATATATATATATATATATGCACACACACACACATATATGCTCATGTAAAGACATGCAAATACTTTCCTAGTAACAACTTATACACTCTATCTTTGCACAAATATCTCTATAAGTAGAATCAAAGCTTTCCATTGCAACTGTAACTTGAAAAATCAGCTTTCTTGAAGTATATTTTGAGTGTGAAAAGATTGCCGATTCATGCAAAATTCAGAAAACTCTATGGAGAAATATTAGTCTCCTTCATCATCCCAAAATCTGATGAAAAAGCAAATTCCACTGCAGAACAATTCTAGAGCAATAGGTAAAGCTGCAATTTTAAAAGCTACTGGATTTACTACTAGGTTGGAAAGAAGAAAAAAAAGCATCAATACCAGTCCCAAAGTCATAAAAGTGTAATCTTGAACTATGATATGGAACAGCAGGGAATAAGACTCATGCTGTGAAAAGAATTATAGATTTTTTTCCTCTCCCCCTTTAAAACAAAAAGTACCAACATAATCTGTTCTCCTTAGCCGTGGCTACATTTTTTTTAATCTGTAACTGTGGTAAATTGTCATTCCTAATTGTATTATTAATAGAATTCCATTATTCTTAATGCCTTGTTTCTGTAGGAGCTTATACATAACTAGACTTGCAAAAGAAAAGTATTTTGTTCATATTTGTTCTAAGTCTCAAACTGAGAAATTTGGACAATATAGTAAAAAAATGTAAAAAAAAAATAAAAAAAGATGTAAAAAAATAGATGACTATTGTAGCACAGCAACTTCTTTGCTTGTTGCTACGCTCTCTGCTAATACAATAAAAAAATTTCACTAACCCATTCAAAAACTCATTCAAAATACTAACAGATATATATTAGAGAGTATAGAATTTCTGTCAGATTTAACTGTGAGATATACTTTCCATTTCCATTGTGCCCACCCTGATTTATTCAGTTTCATTTATATATATTTAGGTCAGCATGTACCTGTTGGTTCAAGATTTGAAATAACAGATGATTACATAACTTCTCTATATAATTTTTTTGTTTTGTAAGTATTAGATATAATACAACAACATTATAAACAAAAAAGAAGGGGAGGGTACTTGGCAAAATCCCATAAAAATTCAAAAATATAACGATTTCTTATTCATTCAGTTTCAGGAAGTCAGAATTCATTTTCATAAACCTCTGCCATCTGACTTATGTTCATGGAATACAGATATGCCATCCAAGCAGCAGACTATGCTTTATCTTGTCAAAATCTCATGTTTAAAATTCAAATAATACTGCCTTTTCAGATTTATTAACGGCACACAGTCAACTAAAGAACATATTTCTGTCTGAAATCTTTTCTCCAGCTAACACTTAATTGTTATAACTGAAATATATTAAGGGGAAGATAAATCTAAGATTCTTCTGCATTTGACAATGTCTTCAATAACTAAATTCATTCTTTCTCCATAACATTTAAGTAGGCCTCAATCTACAGAAAATGGGAGAATGAATTTCTCCTTTCAGTGGCCAATGATTCTGTTGTTGAAAAACCTCTAAAAGTTTCAAAAAAAGAATACAAAAAGCATATAAAGTATGCACTCACTTTTGTTTTCAGTAGGAGGCATGCTAATACCTGCATTATAAACTCTGGCTAGAGTGTCCTAGTTACAGAGATAAGATAAGAAAGTTCTAAATACTTTAATGATGTATTTGTGCATGCGTATCACATTAATGACAAATTAAAAGTAGAGGTGTACAGACAGATCAGATCCAGGTGGGGAGTTTAGTTGTATTTGCCTAGCTTTATCAGTCACTTTTGATACCGTTTAGATTAACTTTACTAGTTTTATTCTTCTTTTTCTTGAGGAACAGAATTCTGCTCCCACTGAAAATGATGTAGACTGAATAAAACCCTAAACCTAGAAAAAAAAAATTTACTTAGCATGCAGTAAATACCTATATGACCTTTAAAACCTTCTTTATGACTTTGAGTTTCTACATTGATAGGAAATTAATTAAATTATAAGTTTGCACTTATCCTTTCTTATACTTGCTTTAATATTGCCAGGTATACTTTAATGACACTAAAGATTAGTTTTATTTTCCTTTTCATGCTATCACCAGTACGATGATCTGAATTTTAAGCACAAGCCATGCAAGCTGAATAACACTTCATCCAATACTGAAAGCATATGCAGAAGACTGCATTTTGAAGTATAAGCCAATATAGAGGACTAAATCTAATGCTTCTATTGCTTTCTTTTCTCACTTCCCTCCCTCTAAGTACCATTAAAGCCCAGAAAAAATAACTATAAAAATAGTCTATAGTACTGTTCCATCACAGAAAGTACTATTCTGCAGACATCCTTACCATCTTGTAAGGACTCTCAGAAACAAAATGCAAGAGTGTCAGATATGAAAGCCAGCAAAGGACTGGGATAAAAAGAACATGAAGCTGTAAAAAACTGGAAAAGTAAAAACAAAAAACCACTTGCCTAGATGAAAAGGTGGCAGCAACTATTAGCAGTTTCTGGAAGAGATATTCAAATCTACATCATGTACTCAAGTACAGTGCAAACATCCCAGAGCTACTGCCCAATAACCAATCTGCAAGCCAGCACAGCCTACCTAAGCAGCCCAGGCAATCCAGCACTGCAGTATCCTCAGTGTGCTACTTCCTGGAATCAAAATTGTATCTCTGTACATTGCTTAATGTCTCTGTACCACTTCATGCAAAGCTGCAGAAGGTGCAAGAGATATAAACTAGATTATATTACACAGGCTACTCTTAACCACCAGCGCAGCAAGACAGTGGATGCAAGATTCATAAAGTCATTGCATCCTCTCATGTGTAGCTGCAAGACAGAAAGTAGGCACTGGATGGAAAATTAACTCTCGTCATGAAATCCAATAGGTAGCATAGATGGGGCAAATCATAAACAGCTACACTCCAGGTCCAAGTGGAAGAGGGAGATCTGGACGCAAATTCTCATTGTATCTTTCTTCACAATTTTGTTAGGAAAGGAAGCGAAAATTTTGTTCAACAGAAAGTATTTTTGTAAAATAATTTATATCTTCTTTTTTACAGATCATGTTGTGTGTGAAGAGGAGTTCAAATATGCTATGTTAGCTCTAAACTGTATATGTCCAGCTACCTCTACATTAATCACACTGCTAGTTCACACATCGAGGGGACAGTAAGTATATACTACCATAAAAAACCCTTGCAAAAGTTCTTTGGAAAATATCTTACCCTGAACTCCCAGGCAACCACTACAATTTTTAAAAACAAACTGGAATTTTTCTGAAGAATAAAAGTGTCAAGATGTTTTACTCAAGATACTATAATTTCAAGAAGAATCCTCCCAAATATATAACAACTTATTTCACACTATTGTGCCACTGCACAACAGAAAATGTGCAAAATTTGTATTTCCAATTCAGTAGATTGAATTGTGGATATTTCACCCAGTTCTACTTAAGAACGCCAAAAAACCTGAAAAAAACCCTATTTTAATATATTAATTCGAAAAGGATTTTTTTTAACACATACATCAAAATCCTATTCACTAAGATTAAGAGAATTTTTTCTGATAACATATCAAATAGAATTTTGTAGAGAGAGTTTAACATAGTAACCATGCTGTTGGAAACAGTACAAGATTACAGTGTCTCTACAGACTACACAGTCACAGTAGGACCTTTCTCAAATTTACCAAGATAGGTATACCATATCTAGTACAATCTCTGTTATACTGTGTTCTTGGAATAATAAGGTATTTTTATTAAAGCAGCACTGACAGAGAGGGGTGTTAAAAAGTAAATGTATCTGCAGAAGTGGCGTGCATGCATACAGACAATACATTTGAGTCTAGTAAAAATACATATGTTTTACTGAAGTAACCATGGGCCCAGTAATATCTTGACATTTACAAACAGAGTTATTTAACCTTTTATGTGGCATTTGTAATATTCCCCTGTGCCCAGGACAGGGAACACAAAAATTATTGCCAGAACTTTTACTACTGAGAACAGCAAATGTCAAGATTTTAATGGCACTCTCTGTACTAGAATCTGTTAATAAGGTGACAACAAAAAACATTTCTATGCCTCCGAGAACCATGAAGAAATACATTCTTCTTATACCTACCTTTCATTACATGGCATATATAGAATTCAAAGCTCTATTTAATTATTCCATATTATATGTACATGAAAGAAGAGTAGTATTCTTAACAGCTGGCAGAGAGTTTTCCATCAGCACAAAAAATGACATATGATAGGGATTTTGTTTTGTGCTGTAATTGAGGACTTCGGCATTTCATTTCTAACTTGAGCATATTCATCACTTATATGGACACTCAACTATGATACAAAGTAGCTATAGTAGGATTCAAAAACACTTACTTTCTTTTTTAATCAGAATTAATTTATGTAGTCAGAGCTGTTAACATAATTGATTTCTAGTCTGAATCTATGCTTTCAAAATTGGTTATTGTATACTAGGAGCAAGAAAAATATTTTTCATACAAATAGTCAACAGTATACTTTGAATCCTACCTACAGATACATATAAACTTGCTAGACAAGAATTCAGAAAGACTTGAAAAGTAAAAGTGTTTAGCTGTCTTTCTTCTACTTTACTCTGCACTCAGAGTATTTAATATCAGATAGGTTCCAGATTATTGTTTCCTGGAAAAATGGCAGACATCAGATATCTTAGAGCACGCATATAATGCTAGACCAATTGCTTGAATAGGTATGAATATTCTCTAAAACCACACTATACCTATGAAAGTTTAAAATAGAGATATTCAGCAGAGGGGGAAAAAAACTTCATGAATATTTCAAACTTGAGTAGTCTTAACTTCCCAGGGCTAGAAATAAAACAGTTAAAAAGATCAAGTACGTCCCGTCTAATACCTTACTTAAAATGTTCAAGTTTAGCATTTCTGCTACTTCCTTTCATTCCCATTTTTGCCACAAAGCACAGTAATTCCCAAACTGGGGGTGGGGAAAAGATGTTCCCTTTTTATCCCTTACAGATTTCCAAAATTCCTTGGACATGATGGAATATCTTCTTAAAAGTCTAATGTTCTAATGTAACTGTGACTTTATTTGTTCATTAAGTATTGTACACATGCACAAAACTGTTCAATGTATTACAAAAGTCATCAAATCAAGTATTCAGAATTAGGAAATGAGGACAAAACTATCTTTTCGCTAGACTGCTCTGATGCTATGAAAAAACTAATGCGTTGTGAAAACATTAAGTCCGTTTGTGCTTGAGCATACTCGTTGCTCCTAACAACGTTAGGCAGACCATCTTTAATCTGGAAGTTTTGCATTCTAAAACATTTTATATAAGGAAATATTGCAGAAGTATTTCTCTGGGGAAAAGTCATTCATTAAGGCAGAATATGACCACTTTAAAATTCCAGCTTCATTTCATTTGTTAATTCAATGGAGGTATGATCTTAACCTAAGTGGCTTATATTTTAATGGATTTGAACAGTAGTTCATTGACAATTCCTAGATTAAATAATTGTCCCAAATTCTTACAAATGAAGTTCCAGCTACTATATCTACAGATATGGACAGATATTCTATTTCCTGTTTTTAACAACAAATGGTTTGACATCTTTAATAAATATAAACCCATTTCTGCTCATCATGAAGATAAGTACACTGGGAAATTGCTAGAAATTGAAGGCAATAAATAGCAGCAGAACACAACAAAAATAATTATTCTGTATTATCCTAATTAAAAGGGTAATTCAGTAAACAAAAAGAAATACATATATGTAAGTTGAAAACAACTTCTGGAATTAATAGGAGACTGGGAAAACGTTCACTTTCTAAACACCTTTGCCCAGATCCAATCATCATTGAAGTGAGGTTTTCTGCTGTTTATGTGGTCTTTTGTACTTTCAGATTAAACAGACTACGTATAACTAATCTCATTGTCTTCTCAGCTGTTTACAGCATCACAGACCTCAGTTTGTAAAATAGCAAAATTTTACCTTTAATCACAATCATAATCCTATTATTGATCTTAATTAGTAATCTTCATACTTATCGTTAAACATTTCTAATCTAGTAATAGAATTGTATTAAGTTTTTTGTTATGATACAAAATATTGGAAGAAAATAACATTTCTGACTTGATGAACTTCATGTGATCTTTACAGAACAGCACCATGGGAAGCTTTTAGACAACTTACTGGAACCAAGCAGACTTTAAACAGGTGAACATTTTATTTTAGAGGGAAAATTGAAACATGCAACAATTTTCTTTTATGTTTCTAGTTCTGTTATTCTATACCTAATGCACTGTCCGTTAATACTGGTGCAATAAAAATGGTTAACATCGTTCCATTAATCTTAAACAAAATATTTCTATGCTAAGGGTGGGAAAGAATGGTAAATTGAATAAAAGCAGAAATTGTTTCAAGAAACTGAAAATATATAAAAGAATACAAAGGAGCAGGTGCCAACATTAATAGAAATCTGAGCTCCAGGAGGCAAAACATAGAACACATTTGTCAGCTTTATGTCCTATCTGAGATCTATCTCCCCATTATATCCCATAAAGTTCTTGCAAACAAAACACGGTTTCCACATGAAACTTAGTAAAGGTAGAGGTTCACAAAGGCCCCAATTCTGCAGGTTTTGACATTACTAAAAATTTGGAACATCTTCACTGAGATCCATGTAGATAAAGAACATCAGCTGCATACAGTAACAGATCAGGATAGTCTTAATGTGATTAAAGTAATAATTTCTTTTCTTACACTAGAGAAAAGAGGGCATATGCTTGTCATTAATGTACAAGGCACAGTAACTAAAAACATCCTTTAGGATTAGGGTAAATACGGACAATAGCAAACCGGCAAGCAAATGTGGAAAAGTATTTCCTACCAATAGTGTAACCTAAGCCAAATGGGTCTTTTCTACATAAATTATTTTGAATGACTAACTACAAGAATCAAACAAGCTGTTATGGAGTATCTGGAGAGAGGGCCTTTATGAACAGAAAGCACATGCTGTTGGTTTCACCTGTCATCTTGAAATTGCAGAGAATCTACTTATTTTCATGTGATTTTAAACTAATTCAGCCATATTTCTCCTGATATTGAAGTACATAATCCTAAAATGCCTATTAGCAGAAAATGTTCTTGAATGCATTAAACTGAATTAATCTCCTCACTTTAGTATCACTAAGCTTTGATCTCAAATATTTCTTTCAGCACAGCGGACCTTATTTGTACTGCATTTGTACTGCTTTGATTAATGAGAATTTTACATTAAATTTTAAACCATTCTCTTTATCTATACATGTTTCAGGGAGGGTCAGCAATCACCAGAACAATGGCAGAAAATGTATGGCAGATGCTCTGGTAATGAAGTGTATCATATTAACCTGGAAGAAAGTACATTTTTTGCTGAGTACGAGGGGAAAAGTTTCACATATGCTTCTTTCCATGCGCATAAAAAGTATGTTTATTTTCTTTTCAAGGATTAAAAGATCAAACAAATAATCATTTGTTTTGCCCGCAACGTAGCTCTCTATTTGAAATTGCAATATTACACAATACTCTATTTCCGTGTTTAAATATCTGGCCACTGTTACATTTCATGGATATTGTTCCGTAAGTTACATCTGGTCAGGTAAAAGCTCATGCTGATTTTGTATAGTCCAACTCAGGCTGAGAGACTAGAATACAAGGGATATGTAGGATAAATCAGACAACAGAAAAGACTCATACGTTAGAGACAGAGTATAAAACATTAGACCCTTTCACTGTCCAAAACAACCTATAAAACCTGTTTGTTTGTTTGTTTTTCCAATTTAGGAGTCAGCTGGAAAACCAGCTTCCTCCATGGGTTCTCCATTGCATGCTCATTTCATGCAAAACGTTCAGTTGTGAGGTGGTACATGTTATATCCTGGTGATTATCCGAAATAAAAACAATTTATTCTGTTAGACTGAACCTTAAAAACGTTAATATATCTTCTTTCTTTAGGTTCTGATCATGCAGAGCTTATTCATTGCTGCTGTGTGCGAGATGAACATACAAGCTAAACATAAATCTTTGTATATTCATATATATTTAACAAAATGAACCCTGAATTAAACCCTGAACAGTTTATTCTCATATTTGATAAGTGAGAAGATTTTATTGCTTTAATTCCTTATTTTCCATCACTAATCAAGTAGATTTTAAAGAGTGAATAGCAAAAATGATTTCTGCAAATGGTTTCTGTTACATATGAATAATGGAACACTTTAACATGATGAATGCTTTCTCATATCATATATCCATTCTTCTATTGATATATTCTCAGAATGGAATATTCATTCGATATAAGAGATTAACCGGAACAGCAGTAGAAGAATAGTATGAGGATTAAGAGAAACATTGGACTGAAATGCCTAGGGATTCATCACTCTAAAAACAGTATTTGATCAGAAATGGCTTATTTAGGAGACAACTTTTTTTAAACGTATTTGTCATTCAAAACTCTGCAAATATTCATAATCTGCAAGATACAAATATAAATGGAGGTTCACTTTTGACACTGGAAATTCAGATGTATACGGAACTATGCTTAATGACCTATGCCTTTCCTTTTTAAATTAAGGTTTGGAGTCTGCCTGATTGGTGTTAGAAAGGAAGATAACAAAAACATTTTGCTGAATCCAGGTCCTCGATACATCATGAGTTCTACAGATATATGCTTTTACATAAATATCACTAAAGAAGAGAATTCTGCTTTTAAGCAGCAAGAAAAGCACAGAAACAAACACGAATCAAAATTATCTTACCATGGAACTTCTAGGTTGCCAGTACACAGTATAATAGCTAGCATGGGTAAGTAAAAGAAAGTTGATGCATATTAACATAGATTAATTGTAAGAGGTATGGTTTAAAAATATAGTTAACATTAACAAGAAAATATATATTAAAAGTCAGAAACCTACCATAAAAATGCAACTTTGATTACAGAAAAACGTTTCCTCAGGTACAGTTTAATTATTTGTTATATTTAAATATAACAATCACAAATAACCTATATAGTTTTCCTTTCAGTCTTTGACTGCAAATTCAGACAATCATCACTAAATATAGGAATCTCATTCACATATTTTGACAACCACACTGAGAAAATACTTTCAACATTACTTCAGGGACGGTGGCTATCGATTTACAAGATACAGGATGTCGAACCTCGAGCAGACCTACACTAGCTCTTCCTTCTGAGGGAGGTAAAGAGGGCAGACGGCCCAGTATAGCACCTGTTTTGGAGGTTGCAGACTCATCCTCACTTCAGACATGTGACCTGCTAAGTGACCAGTCAGAAGATGAAACTACCCCATCAGATGATGAAGTTTCTGAAGGCTTAGAGTATGTATACTTAATATGAACCAAACAATATTATCTGAAAAGCTAATGTTATGAAAAACGGGGCTGATTTCAATAGGAATGAAAATAAAACATCATTTGATTAGCAACGTTCACTTTAACTTTTGGAAGTGCAGCTCAATCCAAGCAGTTGTAGCAAGCAGGGCACATAAAGGTCAATTGTGGAATTATCTCCATTCAAGAAATGCTCTGGTCTGTTAGCAGAGCACTGTTATGCCTATTTTGAAATGAGGGAAAAAAAAAAAAAACCCACAACTTCTCCACTTACTGGAGATGTTCTACACTTAGTAATAAAGACCTAACCGTATATTGCAATTTAATTTATCTCATACACGCATGCCCATTTTTCTTATGTTTGATATTTGTAAGAATAGGACTCAACTAATCTGTAAACAGATAAATACTTCTGTCCTGAGAATGCAATGATAATCAGATTACCCTTCAACAGGCTTGTTGAACACTCAGGGGCAGATGTCTCAGCTCAAAATGCTGGAACAACAACATAAAAATCCAGTATGAGACAAAATTATTATTTCTAATTTACAGTGTTAGTGTGTTACTGAAAGTAACGATGTATTACTCAAACAAAAACAGAAGGTTCAATCCTGTAACTCTCATACACATGAGCAGTTATGTTTATTGGGATTACTGACAGGGGTATTACAACTGAGATACACAGCAAAGCCAGTGGCTCACCTAGCAGTTTTCCACAGTTTTCCATATGAGAAGCCTCAGGGAAGATCATAAAACTCCAGTGAGAAAAGTAATAGAATTAATTATCTCCAATCTTTAAATTGAAACATCAGGATTTGTAAGGCCTGCTATTTTCCCTGGCTCCACCGATAGCTGTAGATATTCTGATCATGCATGTGCACCTGAAAACCTCTCTAACTCCTATTGCAAGTCATAGTCCTCCTTGCTACAGACCAGACTCCTATTAAAACTACAGTGAATTAGAAATTTTATCTTATCAGCAAGAGGGTTTGCCATTTTCAGATAACATATCAGAGCTGAGGATATTTAAAACATATTCTAACCATATTCAAAGTCTATTATTAGAGCAAGAAAGCAAACAAGAAATAACTTGAAGTTAACGTTTACTCATGACCTCACTTATTCTTTTGAGTGCTTGAAAGGAAAATGGAGAAGGAGAAAAAGTATAAGGCCCACTATGATTCCTATTTTCTTTCTTTTCTCCTTTTCCTTTTTCAGAAAGTTCCAGTATACACATTCAAAAAAGTAGAACACCACTCTACATCGGGCCATTTCGAAAGATACCTATGTAAAAAAAAAAAAAATTCCCTTTGGTATCTAAAACCATGATAGTTTTCACTAAATTTTACAGAATTTTATAGAATTGCTCTAAGCTACAAAATACATATTCCTTTGATCCTTATTAAGGATATAATTGTTTCACATACTTGACTCTGTTATTCTACAAATAACTACCAAACTTAGGCATAGGTATAAACATAAAACATTTGATTAGCCAGTTGTGCTTTAGTAATTGACTATACTGAAAAGCTTCTGTTCTATTCTCCTAGGTATGCCAAAGGATATCCTCCTTACTCTCCTTATATTGGAAGTTCTCCCACATTTTGCCATCTTCTGCATGAAAAAGTGCCCTTCTGTTGTCTAAGGCTAGATAAGGTAAAGGAGGTTTTTGTTATAGCACAAAACTGCATTCATATTTGTCTCTTACATTCAGCAGAGTTAGATTCTGGTTTCTACTTAGAGATAAGTTTTGTTTAGCAACTGTTTAGCTACCTGTTTTCTCATTCTTTTCATCTCCAAAAAACATCTGTATAGGTCTAAGATCATCTCAGCTGGTATAATCTTCCATTTCTAATGGTAAAACTCTTTAATGTCACAACTACATCTGCTTATCTGTAATCCACTGAACTTGTTTCCTGTTCTGATTTTAGGGGTGCCAACATAATTACTATGAAGATGCCAAAGCCTATGGATTCAAAAATAAATTGATTATAGTTGCAGCAGAAACTGCTGGAAATGGTTTATATAATTTTATCGTTCCACTTAGAGCTTATTACCGACCAAAGAAAGAACTAAATCCCATTGTATTACTCCTGGATAACCCGTACGTAGATTTTAAATATATTTGTTTACTTGGGTTTTTTTTTTTTTGTGATACATTTTCAGATTCTTTTACCATTACTTTGATAGATGGTTACTCTTTACATGCCTAACTTAAAATCAAAAACATTATGGCACATACATTGTTGAGAAAGGTTGGTGACAAAAATAATATCATGTGTTAACTGTCATGTACTAAATTGACTTCTTACTGGTTATAAATGGCCATTTTGAATTTAAATGTCCTTGTTCTTCATGGGCAATGTTACAGCTAAATATTCCTTATAATATCCAAAATCATGGGTAAAACTAAACATTTAGTAAAACTACCTTCACTTTATAAACAAAGTGAAAAAAAAAAATCAAGGTGTGTAACAGTTTTACAGCTATGTAACAGTAGTTTAGACAACACACAGCTACTTTACACAAGGCATTTAGTGGCCTCTTCCAGTTAGGCATATTTTTATTACTTTAAGACAGGCAGTTCTATAAACCAGTAAGAAAATCACGTTGTCTACAATTATATAAAATCATGGAAGAACATTGAACCTGTAATCTCCAACTGTGCAGCTTCAGCTCAAAAATAAACCATGCCTTAGCAGCTATATCATAAACATAACCTCTTCTCCTATCATCAGGGAAATAAAGGGGCAGGAAGAACAGTTCCTGTGCTACCTTAATGCATGATTTTTTTTCCCCCTTGGAGGCTGCAGAGTAAGTGTGAAAGTTACAGGTGTTACTATCCCACACTCCTGTGCCAATCTAACCCCCTATAGTAATGGCTGAAAAACCATCTTTGTTAAGTGGATGCACTAAATTGTTCCACTGAAGCTGAATTATAGTCTCTAATCTCTGTGGTACGTTACTCACTTTTGGGGCTTGAAACAAACAAACAAACAAACAAAAAAAAACCAGTAAGAAACCATACTCCCTTCTTTCTTTTAAAATGATGCCTGATTACTCAGTATACCAAGCATTGATTAAAACACTTAGACAGACATAATTTGTGGAAGATAATACTCTCCTTTTCAGCATTAAGTAGCTCCTCTCTCAAGTATAATCTCTTTATTACACTTACACTGGTATTTCTCAGTCCCCTCTATATTATCCAAAGGTAGCAAATTGATTACTTTAGCAAATGAACGCAGACATTTATTTCCACTATTCTGCAGGCTAGAGATACATTTCATACCCTTCCTGAAAGAGATGACATGTCCAAAAATTTTTTCTCAAATCTGAGAGTTATGTGATAGCATTGCATAAAGCACAGCCATGCAATGTCATATGAGAAGAGGAATAGAACAGGATGCATTTAGATTTCTGAAAAATGAAAAAGATAGTAAAACAGGTTGCTTGCTTTCTCCCTTTGCCTTACTAAAGCCAAAGTTCCTTTTCTATGGTTTACTTTCAGAAAAGGCTGTACACAAAGTGAAAGATAAATAAAATGCTACACATTACCAGTGGCAAAACTTAAAATGGGTTACCCACTACATTACAGTAGTCACATACTAAAAGAAATCTTTATTTAAAATTACTCCAGTAACTTTCTCTCCTCCACTTCTGTCCCCAGTCCCACCTGGTAAGAACATGCCTTCCTGAAAACTCCAGGAAAACCTTATCAAACCTTCTCCTCACAACCCCAAAGAAACGTTAGGAAATATTTCTTTGCCCTTCCCCCAGATTTTTGTAATACTGGAAATGCAATGGTCAGAGCTCACACTGGCTTTTAGCTCTATTCCCTATATAGGTTTTTATGGGACCCAGAATTCATAGCATGGACTAGGTGTCAATGTGCTAGACATAAGACAAAAACAACTGCCATAAAACCTTAACATTTACTTATAACATGATAGGAAGATGCATCTATCTGTCAGTCTGCACAGAACATCTAACATGTGATAACCTCTTTGGCAAATGCTTTTCTTCAATCTGCCATCGGGTCGTGTTTGAATCAGAGGTGTTCTGCACCTGGAAGGGCATGCGCAAGAAGCACAAAAGAAGCAGGAAGCCTATCTGGAGTACCAGGTTAGGAAGGTCTGCACAGTGGATCTACATGGGGGAAGGGAAGGAAAGAATGGCAGCACATCCCCTGACACAGGCACAATTTAGTACTATAGCCTGCCTAGGGTACTAGAAGTTGCTGTTTCTCCTATGCTATTTGAGGGGGAAAAAGACTTGAGAAATCTAATATAGGGGATATATAGTTTCACATACATCTATGTGTCCAAGAAAAGAAATTTTAAGGCACAATTTCTCAGCTGCATCTTTTTCCATTTCTCAAAATTGGGGTTAGAAAGGCATCTACCACAGGTACAGAAATCAGCAAGTTGTGAACATGTATTTCCACAGAAAGTATCAAAACAGAGAAAGGTAATGGGCCTACCATTGCCCAAAAGCAGGGACACTGAGGTCTTGGTAAGCCTGTAGGTCTCAGAGAGTGCAGGAAGCTTCAGAAAGTATCTGAACCTAATAAAAATAATTGTTTTTGCTGTCATAGCTGTCTAAAAGTCTGTGGAATTCCTAGACTTCCTTGCATTAGCTACAAATTCTTGCATGGCAAGACTCATCGTTTATAATCAGACACTGAATGAGACTTTTTTCAAATACTTTGGTGCTGCTCAAGTACTTACAATCTCAATTTGGAAGATATAAAAAATGAAGGTTAGGCAGGTACAGAACGTTAAATCAAGCTATGATAAGAAGAAAACAGCAAAAGGGGCATGTAGGCTCTGATTCCAGGCTTGACACTTCTCCTTTGTGTATATATATTCTAGTTTATTACAAGTGATTTGTTACACAAAAAACGAGATCATTCGTGAAGCAGTATATACCTGTGTTTGCAATCTAGATAATACAGCATAAAAAGAATTATACGAATTGTTTAAGGTCTAAATTATTATTTTAAAGACTTCTGGTTTGCAAATTTCATGTTAAATGGTATTTAAGAACTGGACATGCAAGTATACAGTGCCCTCTAGTGCTTATTCACTTTTTCAGGGTACTGCCTGAATTTACATATTGATACATGTTTTTATGCTTTTTTCACAATTTAAGCCTAAAAATGCTTTTTCTCAGCATAAAGTAAAAAACGTGGCTGCTAATTAAACTCACTCCCTTAGTGTTGTTTCTCTCTACACAGCATTTGCAGTGAATCCTCTGAAAGGGCAACGTCTACGGGCTACAGAAATCTAACCGAAAGGCACGGTGGTGCTTTTCATACATGTGCGAGGTGGAATCCAGGCTGCCATTCATGTCAATCGGAATGTTGCAATTAACTTCATTGGACTTAGAGCTTTAACCACTTTCAATTAACAAACATCTCCGCCTTGTTGATGTATACCTATTTTCTCTGTTTATCTAGGCAATCTATTATGGCATGCTTATTCTGATATCCATACATTTCATGTGTTCTAAGATTTTAGTTGTTTTTCAGTATATGAGAAGGCAACACCCAGTAAAATTTATGACTGAAGAAATAATACAATAAAATACAGTATTTTTTAAAGAGGAACGTGGAAAATAAGATTCATCTAAGATTATTGTACGACTGACTTGAATGGAGCTAATGTCTGTAAAGCCAAATAATGATTGGGTTTCACTTCACATTTTTATTAAAAACTTTCACTGCTTGTTTTAATTATCCTTATGTCATGCATTGGAATCATGCTTGTTGTAGGGTGTCTTTGTCATCAGTCATTCATTCTTAAGATATTTGGAATTGAACTGTGCCATAAAATTTCTGATTTAAGTAGTACATTTATTAATAAATATTAATTCTGATTATTGTTTATGATCAGAGTAAACTGTTAATTCACAGCTTCTTGCAAACCTATTTTCTGTTTGCCATGTTAAAATTATATTGCTAAAATTAAAAAAATTTTTTTTTTTTTTTTTTAAACAAGCTACCAGTGTATTGATATACTTTAGAAGAGATGCTGCTTTTGTGATGTTGTGTTTCATTTTGTAATCCTATCTGCTGCTTAGGCCAGATATGCATTTTCTGGATGCAATCTGTTGGTTTCCAATGGTTTACTACATGGTGGGCTCTATCGACAAGTAGGTGAAATAACCGTTAGAAAACCTAACATTGTAGTGCTCAGTGGTTTGTTGTGTGTATCGTGATTGCATGCTTAAGTTTGGTGTCGTATTTGAAGATGATCTTTTTGCATGCATGCTTTGTGTCAGTGTGCTATAATTTGGGATTTCAAATTTCTGACTACTAAAGGATATCATTAGTGAAAAATACCTCAGTAATAGTTTCCATAGCTACAGGTAATACTATCAAAAGCTTTACCTGATGTTACATCTCTACATGACAGGGAATGCATGTTAGTATATTCAGAACAGAAAATTAAAATAACATCTATTTAGGTGTGTTAATGTTTCTAGAAACTGCCAGATTATAGCCCGGATTCTAGTGTTATCCTATACTTAGTTATTTGTTGGCTTGGATTTACTGACTAAGGTTTTGTAAAGATAGCTACAGGATGTAGACAGTCCTAATAATGGTAGTTTGAAATGTGTCTAACAGTCTTTACTTTCCACTACTTAAAATGCCACCTACTCCAACATTTCTCTGTTAACCTCTTCTAAAACACATTTTCAAATCTAGGTTTAGCAACATAGCTTTAATGTAAAAATCCGGCAGAAACAAGAGAGGAACATGGACTCATTAGCTTTTTAGTAAGTTGCTATGTCTAGAGTGTGTCAATTCAAACAAGAAAATGGTTTGTTTTACTACATAGCTAATACTGTGTTGGGGCTTCATGGTGGAAATCAAGTAATTTTTGCCTTGCACTGAATTATTGGAATCCAGTTTTTCAGTGGAAATTCTGGACACTCAATGCTTTTCATTCTTGACCTATTACAACATGGGCTTTAAAAACATTCATTTACCTTGGTGACATCACAGCTTTTGTGAGAGCTGCAATGATTCTATAGAAATATTTTTCACTTTCTAGATTGCCTCCCTCTCATCCAAAAAGGTTTCTTCAGCAGTGAATATTTACTACTGTCTCTCTCTTAATTCCGTAACAATTACAAAAAGAATTTATACTGACAGAATAATTGAATTCGCTCAAAGTATCCCAATTAATTAATAACCCAAAGTTGTTGACCTGTTTTTATTAACAAGGGAAATCAAGTTTTACTGGAATTTACTGTTTTTTCAGAAAGGAAAATGCCAAATCCTTCCTAAAGTGATTTTCTTTTCAATTTTCCAGCTGATTTTTCACAACAATTTTAGAACTGAATGCGTAAAAATGAAGCGTGCAGGCTTTGAAACAAGTTCTAATACAGAATTCTACAGCTTACAGTTATACCAGAATAAACATATGGATCATTTCTGACAATACAATCACTTTAACTTCAGGAGCAACAACAAAGTAGAACTGACAGTCATGTTCTGCAGTTTGTTTTTCAGCATCTGTTTGTATAAATGACAAGACCTTTAAAAATGCAATTCACACTTATTGCCTGTGTGTTTTGCTATACATCTGAAATTATGCAGAATCAACAGAAGTTGATCATCTTTTTTATCATCTTTAGTCGATAAATAAAATGTAAAATATGCAAAGTTCATTTATCATTCAATGGCTGTGGAATAAATTCCAGAAGTGTTCAAAGGTGCCACCTACTACCTCTTAAGTATCTAATATCTTGGTGGTTTGGTCACCTTTTATAAATTGTCATCTTCTGAAAGATAAAACCACCAAACAGTTTCAGTTTTCACTTCAATTTCATATCTACTAGTCCTTTTTGTTAAAATATGTATGAAATGTAAAATAAATACCAGGAATTTGTAGAATTTCTTACCCAAAATTTATATGTATACAATAAATATAAATATTAATAATAAATACATATTACAAAAATATATTTTTATATATATTTAAAATAGCATAAGCAAACTAAGGAACCTGAAAACAAAATTTCTGAAGAGAAAAATTTAATCAGGAAAAGTAAGGCTTAAAATTACAGACTGAATCAACTGAAAAATGAGAAGTAATTCTTAATGAGAAAAAGGCTTTTCACTCTAGAAGTAAACAGAATGCTGGTAATATTTAATTTTCCATTTTCCTTTGGAAATCATGAAATCCACCCTTTCTTGTAAGATTCTGCTTTGATGAATTAACATTATCTAATGTAAGTTACAAAATGAAAAACGGTATGAATCATCTCTAGGAATTAATCCTTAAAAATCTTGATAATACTGTCATTAAAGGCAAAAAAAATTTTATGAATTGTAAATTTTCTCCTGGATGAGTATAAAGCAGTTGCCTCAAACTTACCAAATTAAATTTTTTTTTAATTTTGGAGCTACTTCATTCAGAATTTTTCTAGAAGGTTTAAGTTAATATTCATCAAAAATCAGTCACATTATCGTACGATAGAAAAATTGTAAGCTGATACAGAAACATCACAGTTTATTATTATTACTGCTTACTAAAAAAATTGCTAGATATATAGGTCTCCTCTCCACTCTTGCACTGTTTATCATTACAAAAAAAGAAACAAACAAAAAAAATCCCAATTTTCTAAGCTTTATGAAAAGTGCTTGATTTCTTTGCAAAACATTATTGTTAAAATCCCAAACAACTGAAAAATGCTTTAGTTTGGAACTACTGCTATAAGGCATAATGGGAAGTGTAACTCCCTTACCTGATATTATTTTCTAAGGCTAGGCTTCATAGGAGGTAAGGTCCAGGAGGCTAAAGGGCTTTACTGATGGACCACTGCCCCTAAAAGCATCATGAGAGTGCTCCAAGCACACAGACTAACCTTAAAGAGAAATGTATTAGATCTCCTGGTAGCAACTTACTAACATTTTGAAACTGAAATATAATTCACACGTGGGGAAAAAACAAACCAAATCATTTTAGATCTACTTATTGCAGAGATAGTAACTGCAGTGAGATAAAGTAGTTGTTGTAGCACAATGGCATACAGTCTTCCCGCATCACTGTTAAAGGCTTGCTAAAAAGTTCAAATAAATGCATCTTTTTCATGAAAGGAAAGGGATCACAGCAGCTCCCTGAAATGCATTTTGTGCAACATCAAGAAAAGTAATTTCTAATATTATACCAATTCATTGAAACAATATATTTGATACAGATTACACTGGAAGTTATGGCATGTACACGAAATAACGAAATGAAGGGAACCAGCAATTCAACGTACAGTTTACCAATTCCAGTCATCCATAACATTTGAGTGTTCCATATTTAAGTTGCTTGTTTGTGTCTTTCTCCCTCTTTCTCTTCACAAAAGCCTAGATGACTTACTAAGATGTGGGGTCACCTTTGCAGCTAATATGGTGGTGGTGGACAAAGAAAGTACAATGAGCGCTGAGGAAGACTACATGGCAGATGCTAAGACTATTGTAAATGTTCAAACACTCTTCAGGTAAGAAATTTTTGCAACCTATCACACACCTTCGTTAATCATGAAATATTTAATAATGCGTTTTGTACTCATCTCAAATGATATTTCTCCTTTCTTCAACTTAAGTTTCCCCTTATATAAGCTTAAGTCTTACATGAGCAAGCCTCTCTTCTCTGCCCCCTGCTTAGTGATACACTCGGCTTCTTGGCATACCAAGGTATTTTTCTGAAATCTCAGATGAAATTCTATATATCCCAAAAACTGGATGATCACTTTAAAAGTCAACTGTCAGGTTTGCAGGAAGGGAAAAAAGATACTCTTGAAGACCTAGGATCAAAGACAAGTGAGGAAGAAAATTTGCCTCAGTACAGCAGTGTTTTACAGCAATACTAAACCAAGTAGGAAAAGCAGATCCTTCTAAAGTTAAAACAGTAAGCAATGCATTACTATGAAGTTAGTAATAAGTGTTCACATTTTGAATTTTTCATTTTAAATTAAAGATAGGTTTTTAGGTTAAACAAACTGAAGTCTCTTGATCATTTGAGAATCTGATTAAAGCCTCATTTAAGTGTTAAATGTCTTGATTCAACAAGTACTGAATGATATGTGCTACTATAAACTCTGAAAGAGTTCTAGCTACTAAAAAAACCCAAAAAAACAAAAACAAAACACACACACACAAAATGCACTACCAGTTAGGTATGAAATGCCTCCCTGATTTTGGGCTGGAGTCCTGCACTTACTGTGCTTCATTCTAATCAGACTTGGGCAAGGATGACTCAAGGATTAATCCTTTGCTAGAGGTCAATATCATTCACTATTGCTGCCCTTTTCTATGTCAAACCTTCTAGATTTGGAGAGAGATGCATAGCAAGTCTTTTGAATCTGTCAGTTTTTCATAAAAAAACAAGCTCCTGAATACAAAAGCATTTCAACAGAGATTTTTTTGAATTCAGCTGTGTGCAGCAATGTGGTAAACGCAGCTTGCATTAATGCATGTGTTCAAACAAAACAAAAATCAATGTCACATAAGAAACCTTAATTCTGTCTTTTTTAAAGAAAACTTCAGTTTTGAATATGCACCTTATATTAGCACAGATGTTTATGTTTTTTCCATAATCACATCTATATTAAATTGAGTAACCATCATTTAACTTAATCTATGTGTCATTAAAGTTTACTCTTAACCATATTGCACTAAGGTATCTCACAGAGGCGTTTGCATAGATCACTACATTTTCCAGAAATAAGTTTTCACAAGTATAAAATGGAAGAATAAGGTGAATAAAAAAAATTACAAAGTAGTAGTTGTGTTCTACCTTGTAAAATTAAAAAAAAAAATACAATAATACATACCATTGGTATACAACTAGAACTGCTATCTAATCGTTCAGTTGTCTTGCACAATGCTTACACTAGATGGCAGCTTTAACTCATATATGGGTCAGGATACTACAAAGACTGTATAGTTCTTTTTACAAATATCAAAAAAAATCAAAATAAATATCTTGCTTTCTGACTTAACATTGTCTTTTCATAAAAACTTTGAAAACTTTCAGAAGTATTGTATTTTACAAATTCTTTTTTAATTTTACTACTTTACTAGCACACATACATTGACTGCATTTTTATATATTGTCAAAGCTGCAGAAATAACTAAGCTTTGGGGAGAGGTATGAAGTAATGGTATTTACCTGTTCTACAGGCCAAACTGCAAATTGCAAACTTCATTGCAGCAAGGTAAATAGTTTGGTAAAAAAATCTTTAAGAATATGTTTAAAGATTTGTCATTATTTAATAACAGTCAATGATATAAGAAACTAACAAATAAGAAGCTGTATACAAACTGTCGTGTTAAAGATTTTAAACCACAGAAATTGTGCCAAAATATGCTATTGCCATATCACATTTCTGAATGATTTCACTTAGTGTGACTTATGTGTATTTTTTTCAGTAGACAGGCTAATCTAAGCCTTATTGATTTGATTGATTCAGATCAATGGGCCTTAATAAGGCTGCAGTGATGTCTGAAAAGATGAAGCAAGTGTGCTGCAATACTGCTTGGCCTAGGTTGCCAACTCTAATAAACATTTTCTGACATTATTCCCCAATTAATAATCTCACTTTGCTGAAAGAGTTGTTCCCTCTCTACTCCCCTCAAAGGATGGATGCATTGTTTAAAACATGACCGGGTTATTAGTACCTTTAAGGCTAGAAATTGGTCCGTACCTCTTAAAACTGTGGCACAACACTACCTTATCTGACTTAAGAGTAAAAAGGGGTAAAAGAAGTGCAACTCAAATAGTCACCCGGAATACAAAATGACATCTTTAATCCTTTGGATGGGATAGAACAAGTTAGCATAGTTTAAAAGTACAAGAAAGATTTATTAGTTTTGGACTCTGTCCTACAGATAGTTTTCACTTTCTGATGTGAAATACGAAGCTAGCCATTAAGTCCCTATTGAGAGTTATGAATGCACCTCAGAGAAACAGTGGGCTTCCTCAGGCAGGCGATCTGTACTAAAAAGAGTATTTTCTGTTTCCTCTTGCTTTCTGTTAACGGGTTTAACCTGTTGGTGTTTGGGAGTTTTAAGTTTTTAGTAGCTAACATTATGATAGCTATGTTTCAAGTACCTTAAGAAAACTATTGATAGCAGTAGACCTAGAACTTAACAGTCTGAGTCAGCTCCAACCTGCAGACAAACCAAATGGGGCACTAAGATGCTATGTCATACTATGTCGTTGCTTTCTAGGTTTATCTTCTTGGTTCAGGAAAAACCAAGTG